CGGGGTCAAGCCCACAGTTGGGCTCACTAGCCGTGCCGGGGTCATTCCCGTTTTGCCTCCCCATGACACCATTGGGTTAGGACTTCTATTCTGATATTATAGCGCTTGTAGTTGTAATGATGTCACTTGACGTGGTAGAATTGTGTATTTACAAAAGTAACATGCATAGTTTGATGCGTTTAAAATGGTTTAATGAAACACTTCCTTTATGATGTATTATCAGGCCTATAAGCAGGACAGTTTCTGATGCGGTTTACGTACTCGATGCAATTGTGGGCTTTGATAAACAAGACTACGAAGCAACAAAAGAAGCGGCTAAATTCATTCCTTTGGGTGGTTATAAACAGTTTCTCAAATTAGATGGGCTCAGAGGAAAGAGACTCGGAGTTGTTCGGAAGCCATTTGTAGATTTTTTAAACAAGTCCTCTGTCTTACAAGCTTTTGAAAGTCATTTGAACACATTGAGGTATCACGGGAAGATTTAGTTCGACTTTCTTGTTTCCGTAGAAAAGGAAGTTAAATTGAGCACACACTGATTGATAATTTGGGTTTTTATTTCTTTAAAAATTTAGACAAAGGGGCGCAACTATAGTGGACAATCTTGAAATAGAAAACGTAAATGTAGTGCTGAATCCAAGTCGAAGTGGTGAACTTACTGCAATGTTGGCCGAGTTCAAGCTCTCTGTAAATGAGTACTTAAAGGAACTCGTTGCTTCTCCAGTGAGATCGCTTGCTGACATTATTGCATTCAACAAAAATCACCCTGATTTGGTAACAATCTTATTCTCAAATCTCAAATTTTATCTTGGAAAGTTTAGTACTCGTTGATAGAGTTTATTGACACATGTAGGAAAACATTCAACAATCTTGTGTGTCATGTTTGTCCAATGCAGGAGAAAACTGAAGAATATGGTCAACACACTTTTATCCAATCAGAGAAGACAAATGGGATCGGAGAAAAGGAAATGAAGGCAACTGAGTTGATGAAAAATCTTTCACGAGCCGGGTTTGAGAAACTGATGGTGGAAAATGAACTGGATGCGCTGGTGACACCAGGTACAGGTGCTATTTCTGTGTTGGCAATTGGAGGCTACCCTGGGATTACTGTCCCAGCAGGATACGACGACAACGGAATGCCATTTGGTCTCTGTTTTGGCGGGTTGAAGGGTACAGAACCAAAGCTAATTGAGGCTGCTTATGCCTTTGAACAAGCCACCATGATCAGGAGACCATCTTTTCCTAAATTGTTTGAATTGATAGATCGTAACAAAGGTGGTGTTGGAAGTTTTTAGTTGATTTAGTGTCATCCTGGTGAAGTAATGAAATATTTTTACGTGTATCCAACCAAATGAACATTTTATGTGGTTTGATCTATTTAAAAATACTAAGCCTACGCTTGATCTTGTTGGATGGTTAAAAGGGACCAGCATACTTGGCTACTTCAAATCCTAAAGCGACAATAGACCACCTAATAACTTTTTTGCACTATCCAACTTTTTTTTCTTTTTCAACGTGAATAAGGAAATGATGAAATAGCAATTTGTGCTGGTTTCATACTTGCTTTTAAAAAGATAATGGTGTCTACTTTCAATAGAAAATGGTGTCGCATATTCCGCGAGCATGCATGAAGCTAAGGCAGTTTAGTCTTCAGTTTTTTGGTGAATAAAAAAAGAATTAAGTGGTGTCTTCACATTCTTATTTAACGTTATTTTGAGAATTTGTTCAGACTACAGGTGAAACGGAAACGGAAAGGAGATCTTTTTATGCTCTCTTAGAAGTGGATGCACATCACCACACAGAGAATCGAGCCTCTGACGGTAAAAGAGATATACATGAAGCAATCATCATTCACAATTATGCCACGTGTTCAGTTTGAAATTTATTTATTAAGGTGATGTTTGGTAGAGGAATTCGTTCTCTTATTCGAATTATAATTCGTGGTTCGTTACAGTATTTTTTTTCACAAAAAATACACATAAATCGAAAATAATTCTAATCACATGGTTCTA